GATGAACACCTCCTTCAGGGAGACAGGCTGAAACCACGGTGCTTGGAGAGGCAGTGTCATGGAGCCACCCAAAACCAGCAGGCTGACGCCCTGCCATGGCACTGGCGTGGTCCATTAAGTCAGCAGGCAGCAACCTGTCCCTCCTGGTATTCCCCACCACGATCAACTCTGCACAGACTCAGAAAGAGGTTGGAAACAGTGCCCTTATCACAAGTAAATAAAGTTAATGTTTTATTAACATTGACACGAAGTTCCCAGTCAGTGCCAGGCGAACCTAAAGCAGGTCAAGCTTGTATGGCATGTAAGGAGCCTGGTGTAAAGCCAATCCTGGCCTGCCAAGGTGTGCTGGCACAAAGGTCTGCTAAGGGCATCATCTCCAAGGGATACCATCTTAGCCTGGATCTAACCTTTTAGGCATGGAGCTCCAAAAGCAGCCTTCAAGCTTTTTACTCAAGCTTGCTAACTGTGCAAACCACTTTCTACATATAAATCAGCTGTGTCTAGTTACAGCAGGGTGGCTCTTGCAGGGTGGCTCCTTGTGCCACACCCCACGCTCCTGCACAACCTTCCCTCTTGGCTGTCCTTCCCTGCTGTGGCCAGCCCAAGGTCAGCGATGCAGCCATTAAATACCAGCCAAGGAGAGCAAACATCAGTCCCCCTTTGAACAGCTCTGGGTACATTGAATACAGCAAGATTCTGGGAGAAGGGATTGGCACAGCAATGGGAGCAGGGCTGGCTGCAATGGCCACAAGACCAGGGCATAAGGGCAGCGATGGATGCTGATGGGCAGCCCTGCACGTGTGGGTGAAGAAAGCAGGCATTGGATGAAACCTGATGGATTATAAAGCAAGAGGGAGCTTAGACCAAAAGCCCTCCTGTGGAGTCATAAAGAGTTGTCCACTGGTCAGTAACAAGTGTTCTGACAAATTACTATGCTGTCCAGGAACCCTTCAACAGAGCCCATAGAATTGCCATTGCTCCATCCTATATTGATAAACCTCTTCAGACAGGCAGTGCTCATTTTCACTCACATGCACAAACTTTTCAGGGGAATCCCAGATTTGTCACAGCTGCACGAGCCCTACCCGTGGCTCAGCTGCGCCACACAGCCAGCGTGTCATGGGACCTCTGATTTCAGCTCTGTGAACCAACACTTTCCCCTCCTGCTCTTCTAGCAGCTTTCTCACCCCCTCTTGCCCCCCATGTTTGCTGCACAACACTCCTCCACCCCAACACACACCAGGCATCAGTGCCCTTTGCTAACAGCTTTGCATCTCGAGTATTTCATTCACCTCACCTTGCAGGAGATGAGTGAGGTTCCTCTGGCCTCCTGCGCAATTCAGTGAGTAAATAAAGGTTTTTTGTCAGCTCTGTGCAGCAGATTTCACTCTTTCTAGAAGAAAAACAAAAAAACAAAAGGGGAAAAAAAAGGAAGAAAATCCACCATTACAAATCTTTGCTCGTTTTATCCCAAACTTCTCCTCCAGTCTTTCAGGGGAAATACCAAGTTCCAAGTCAGTCTGTTTGCAAGGTGGTGGAAAATCCCCAGGTTCCCAATGGGAAATTTCTACACTCAGAACTCATGCATAGAAAGAAGGTGCTGTTCTTGATGGTCTCTGCTGCTGTGAAGCTGAAGAGGGACAGGAGACAAATCCAGGTGCCTGGCTTGGGAGCAGACTGCCCATATACATGGCATGCAGCATGTGGCCCTGTGTCCCCTCCAGGCCCCTCATGCTGCCACTTTGGTCTCACCAAAGACATAAACAATAATTTTACACGCTTTTCCAGGCTTGCAGATAGCTTCCAAAAGTAGTAGCATACTTAATAAGTAGTTACTTATTTCTAACCGATCCCATTTCCTTAATTATATTTAGACATCGTGCAAATGAAATTCAATTTTTAACAAAAATGACCTCTGCAATTATCCAAACAGTATTGAATAGGATGTGCCTGTTTACAAGCACCAAGCAACTGCCACACCCAGTTGGCTGATGGCAACAATGGCACCAGTTCCACAAGTAAACCTGGTCTTCAAGTTCAATGCTGACTCAAAAGTCTTGGTGAGTTCATCGATGAAAGGCAAGTTTTTCAGCTCATTTGTGCTGATGTATCACTCTCTGTCCAAATACAGAGAATGATACATCTGACATTTTCATTAACAATTTCCAACACAGGAGGAGAAATCTAAGAGACAAACTATTTTAATATAACCACCCACTGTTATATGACTTTGTTTTTCTTATTTCTGTATTTGATGTAAATGTATTTTTGTAATTTATTTGTTTTAATATATGATAATGTATTTAATTTGTGCAGCTGTCAAAATTATGTATTATACAGTAAGAATATAATAAAGTTATATTAATTCTATTTGTGCTTTTATATTAATGTGATTAATGTATTTATCTAATTTGTATTTTTGGAGCTTCTAGTCAGAACAGATTTTCAGCTGTAATATTCTTCTGCTTTATTCTTACCTTCAGTGTACATACTGCTGTTGGTGCATTTGCATTTTCATTTTTCACTGATCTTTACTAAGCCCAGTTTAGAAATAAGGCAAAATAATTTAAATCACCCACTTAAATAATCTAGCTTCCCTACTCTTGCCTAATATAGCTGGCAGGGTTGAATCTAGGTTAGCAGATTATGTGCAGGTTACGGCAGCATTAAAAGCAGCCAGGCTCTTCCTCCTTCGTTTGAAATCTGGCTTTCCTTTCCTTCAACCAACATTTTCCTGCCTGTTCTATGATACACAAATCCAGAGATATTTCTTTGACCCTATTGGGGTGAAAGAACTTGGTGCTGCTCCTCTCCTGTTGCCCACGTGGTCCCGCTGAACTGCCCTGTGCCTTTCTCCCCCTCCCGCCCATGACTCTGCTCTCCTGGTTTTATGATCTCCTTCACGCTGTGCAGCCACACCTGGGCGAGTGCTGCTGAACTCAGCAGAGTTTTAGATTCCCCAGCCAATGTTAGATGGGAACAAATGGGATATAATATAAGAGAGAAGAACAAGTGAAATCCTTAACTTCAGTTTCACCAGAGGACAATCTCCTAAATTTCAAGAAGCTTCACTTCACCTCCTGCACAGACACTTGCACCCTGCTGATTTCTACATCATCTTCACTGTGTGAAAGCAGAAGCAACAACATTTTCCTTTTAAACATAATTTGGGATTTAATTGCATTATTAATAACTAATTTGTTGTTTAGATTCAGTTGTCTGCTGAAGTCTGTGTACTGTTAAATTTTCACCTTTCTGCAAGCTGTGCAGAAAGCTCTCTCTCTTCAAAAAGCCTCTAACTTCACATCTCACAAACTCCAGTCACTCTCCATCAGATTCACCCAAACAGCTCCTGCTCAGCACAGGAAAAGTTAAATCTTGTTCAAGACCTGCTACGACTACCTTGCTCTTCTTCCTAATCTTTTCACACCTCTCTTCCCACTTCCAAAACAACTATGTGGGATCCTCCATAAACCTTTTAACCTGTGGGCACCTGTTTAGTATTTATAATTTTCAGGCCACTGCCCAATCTCCCTGTCTTATTTTAACTTTTAAGAAAAACCCCAACATTTGTCTTGAATATCAATTAGCTCATGGTGTAATGACTGAAAGTTCACCCTCCTTTCTTTTCTATGGGAAATATAAAGTAGTCAACTGTCTGTAAATCTGATTTTTCTTTTACTTGGCCTGACTCCTACTTCATTATCTGAGAACAAATCACTCCAAATTGGTGGCTATTACGCTAAACTATCATGCTGCCTAACCTGAGGCAAAAAGCCCACAATAAAACTCTGTTCAGAAACTGTGCATTATTTAACTGACAGAATAATCTTGCCATATTACTCCAGCTGACAGTTCTATTACAGCTGTTTCAGTGTCCAAAAAATCCAAAATTTCTCAGCTAACCTTATACGTGTGCCCATTTCAAAGGGCCCTGTGAAGTGAGTATAAGGCAGGGTACACCAATACACCTGGTTAAATAGGATGAAACCCTGGTGAATTCACCAGGCAATTTTGGAGGCTTGGCATTAGTGGGATTCAATAAGAAAGTAGGAGCATTAGCAAACAACTTTGACAAGCAGCAAGAACAGCCTGGAGGGGCTTTCTAACACCCAGGTTTCCCTTGCAGCTGGGGCATGTAGAGAACTCATCGGCTCTGCCACTTACAGATTGTCTGTGTTCATGGGAGCTGCTGGGTACGCTTTTTAGTCTTGCTCTTCTGTACACAGAGTGAACTCAGGGTTGGGCATCTGCCTCTGAATGCCCCAGAGCCTTTGGTTTAAAGCAGATAGCAAAGGGGGTTAAATGGCTCCTGTTGGTTCTCTGCTCCACCTCATCCCATATCTGTGTGGCAAACCTTTTATTATATATGCTCCAAAGCTGAGTTAGCATTGTCAGGGATCACCTAAAAACATTCCCCACAGAAAACAGAAAAACACTGATCTTACTTCCCCAGCTGCACAATGTGGCAAACACCTGGAAAATCTGGTGCTTTTTGGCCCCCACTAACTCCCACTAAAATACCCTATATCCCAACAAACGTCTGCAGGTTGTAGAGGGAGAACTCTATCCAGCAATTGCAAGTTAGTTGGAAAAAATGAAAAGAAAACCCAGGGAGAAACAAGCTCTCCTTTACTTTATCTGCTCTGATAACAGCTATCACACTGAGTCTATCGCAAACCCTACAGGCACTAGGAAAAACGCGTAACTCTGCCGATCTGCTAAGGCCATCAAGAGAAAGGAGAAGGGCATTTGATTGGAACTAACCTTCCCCTGCCAGCCTCAATGGCAATATTATCAACACCCTTTATAAAGAATTGTATCTGCAGTGGGTTGATAGTAGTGAGCAGGGGCTTTCATTGGCACAGGAAACAAACTTGGTGACCTTCAGTGGAGAAGAAGGTATAAAACCCAAAGCTTCTTGCGTGATTGTCCTCTGGGCACCAGTTGAATTTCTTAGTTTCAAAGGGGGACACATTCTTGGGAACTTCTGTGAGAAAATGGCGACTTTAAATGAAAAGAAGACCTGCAGTGAACGGATGGAAAATTTCCGTCGTTTTGTCTGGAATCCAGAAACAAAGCTCTTCATGGGAAGGTCCTTAATTAACTGGGGTAGGTTTTCACATGCAAGAGTCTTCTCTTCCTTGTAGTATATTTAAAAAATGTGCAGGGAGGTATCATCCTAATGAGTGGGGCACAATGTAGATATGTTGAAGACATCACTTCTCACATATACCTTCGAACAACTTTTTGGGTGGCCCTATAAGCTGGATCAATTGATAATAATAATAAGCTGATTAAAACATTGATCTAAGTAATTTCTGCAAATGTAAGATGACTTGAAAGTGGTTTTAAACCAAGTACTTTGAAAGGAGAAAAATTAATGCATTAACAGGTAACTTATTAATAGCTAAGGGTGATGGTTATAGTTGGGTTCTGCTAACTAAAAGGGGTTCACATCCTCGTACATGGGGAATTTTGCTTAATTGGTGACGTTTGTCCAATTCTTTGTAAACAAGTTTTGTTTTTCTGAAATTCCTTCCTGAATTATTGTTTGCTTAGTAGATCTTGTTTCTTATCCCAGTGTCTTAGTGTGTATTTTAGATGAGCCTCCCTTCCCACAGCCAAACTTTTCCCATAGTCAAACTAGTGTCTACAACGATGATGTGTTTTATGATCTACATTCTGAGAAGGGCAGTCTGGACCATTGTAAAGAATATCCCTGCTCTTCCCACAAATTATGAGTAGTTGCAAGTTTCCAGGTGATTTTTTTTTTTTTTCTGCCATGAAACCTGTGAATGAAGCTTATTGGCCACTCCTAAAAACAGAAAATGCAAATGAAACTGAAATTTCACAGAAAATGCAACTGAAATGTGAGCCCTTTCCAGTTGGTAGAGAGAAATGTGCTATGAGGCGCCAATGAATACAGGGACAGGTTTCTAACAACCCTCCCACAAAACAACCACTGACTGCTTGTAGAGCATCAGCCTTGTGTAAGACACTTCATGCACATACAGACAGAAACACAACGTTACTCTGCATCTCATGCATCTCAGAATAAAATAGCAAGATGACACATTTTGCTCATGGTGATTTCAGTGTAAAAGGCAGTGAAGTGATATGGGTCTAAAATCAGCACACCCGAAACACTGACATCTGTTTTCCAAATACCACAAGGAGCAACTTGGTTTTGTCATAGAAATACCTCGGCTGTGTCACTTACTCCATGTGTAATAAGTAGAAAAATGGTCTTGATATGTGAAGTTACTTTAAGAAGCTACATAATATTTTAAGTTTTAAACAACCTGAGCTCAGCACTAACTACTTCAAAAATCCTTGTAAAACTGAACAATTTTTTTTCTAGAAAAATATTCTTTTGAGTGTAGAGAAAATGATCCAAAACACCTGTCCCTTTACAAGGAAAACCTCCCTGAGGTCAAGGGTGGAAAGGAGACAGATGGTGCTGCCACCAGGATGCTCCTGGCTGGAGAGGGATCACTGCACCTTGCTCAAAAAATGAGATTTTGCTCTCATTTTTTTCCACAGTCTGGATCAGCCTCTACTACCTGGCTTTCTATGTGGTGATGTCGGGGCTGTTTGCACTCTCCATTTATTCTTTAATGAGAACAATTAATCCATACGAGCCGGATTACCAAGACCAGCTGAAATCCCCAGGTATGGCCAGGGTCCCACAAGGGCTGTGTGGGGCTGGGCTGGGCTGAGGGGCATTGGCAATACCCAGGCATGAGGGGGGACCAGTGTGGAATAAATCAGGTCAATTCTGCCCAACTGATCCCTGCAAAGTTTAACCTCTGCCTGAAAACACAATCAGGCTTTAAAAAATATCGGCACGTTTATTTTTTTAGTATTAATTTATATATTAATATATATATGAAAAGTAATGTAATATACATTAGATAATATATATACTATAAAATAATATAACTTTTAATATATACATTAGTTTATTTCATCACTCTACTGAGATGATCAGTGCCTGCCTGTAGTGGTCACCTGCAAGAGGAGCAGGCTTTCCTGGGCTGTGGGGCACCTCCTGTCCCTATGGGCAGGGATAAATCCCTGGAGAAGCCCTGGGTTCTGCTCCAACCCTACAGGCACTATGGAGGGTTTTGGGGTGCCTGCAAAATGGATAAGTGCTGGGGCGAGCAACCTTGGGTGGGTATTTCCATACTTGCTGGCACCATGGAAAGTCTCTGGGAGAGCAGGAACACCTTCCCAGCAGGACGTGCCAGCAGTCAAACAAGTAAAAATAAGACAAAGACTTGTGGCATTAGGAATAAAGATTTGTGGGACATGAAAAGAAACAGGAGAGATGATCAGCAAGAGATCATCAGTGCACACTGCTAAAACTTCACACCCCAATGGCTTGTTTTCACAATGGGAGTGAAAAAATTACTTTTTAAAGTTGTAGCCCTAAAAATTATTCTGTCAGATGTTGTATTTTGAAGTTTCCTCTCCCGGTATTCAGTAGGCTTGGTGTTTGCTAGCAAAATAATTCCTGTAAAATATTAAGTGTGGCTTTTTCAAAAGCTGTTCCTCATGCTGCTGTATGATCTCTTTCTTTAACCTCATGTGACTGTTATTGTTAAGAAGCCCTGAGGAAATCCAGTGCATTTGCTGGAATGATTTTACAAGCTGTTCTTATAACAGCATGGGTATATGTGAAAGGAAAATAGTTCAGCAGCAGCAAAGGCTTTTAGAGTTTTGGTTGAACAACTCACAGCTGAGCGGGTTTCTGTACACGGTTAAATCCTCCAACAAAACCTCAGGATCTACTACACTGATGATGTCTTGATGCAGTGTAATCACAACTGTCAATTTAAATAAGCAAATCTGTGCCTGGCACTTCTGCTTTGTCTTCCTTTTTCTTCCCCCATGAAGGTGTAACGTTACGACCTGACGTTTATGGGGATAGAGGACTACAAATTTATTATAATGTATCCGACAACAAAACCTGGGAAGGTTTAGTGACAACTCTTCACACTTTTCTGACAGGTAAAAATGAGGTTTCCTGCATAATAACAAAGAAATGTGCTGACCTATCTCCCATATTAGGTCTGAGAACCTTAAGTCAGAGTCTCCATTTTATATTTGTCCTTGTCAAATCAGAGATTTTGAGTGGAAAATGTATCTTCTAAAGGGGATGAGCAAATCCCCTCATGAATCTATAAATGTATAAATGTGTAAACATGTCTATTAAAATCAGAGCCCTGCTTCGGAGCTTTTACTCTGTTTCATCCTAAAATAGGCCAACAGAAAGTTGGGGGAAGTGGGAGCACAAAAGGTCCTCAAAACTAGTCTCATCTAAATTAATCTGATGAATTTGTCTGTGACTACAAACATCAAAGTGCCTTAAGGCGGTAAAGCCATTGTATGGTGCCATCAGAGAATACAGTCAAAGTAGGTTAGGTGTCCCATTTACCTGTTAATATCTTAGCACATTTATATTCTTTTTTGAGCCTTAATATTGTAATTCTGCATGTTTCTTACGCACATACTCAAAAAAATTATATTTGAAACTGACTTTATACGGATCTATCAACACAAATGGCCGGTCTTAACTCAATTTGATCTTCTTTTTATGTTTTTTCTTTTGCTTGGATATTCTAAAAAAAAAAAAAAATCACAACAAAACAACTCAACCAAACCCCCAGACAGTTTAAAGTTTCTTCATTCTGTCTAATCCCAATTTCACTTTAAGTACATTCTCCCATGATAAAACCCCTAGCCTGATGTTGGGATCTATAATTTGCATATGAAAAACTTCAGAGGAAAATTTTTCTTTCTTCCTTCCCACATCTAGCGTATACGCCAGCTGCTCAGCATCTGAACATCAACTGCACCAATAACACATACTTCATCCAGGACACCTTTGATGGCCCAAATAAAACAAAACTATCCTGCAAATTTACCTCAGACATGCTTCAAAACTGCTCTGGCATCTCTGATCCAACTTTTGGATTTCCAGAAGGGAAACCCTGTTTTATTATAAAAATGAACAGGGTAAGTACAAGCTCAGGGTGCCAAGCAGGAAAGGATTCATTGAGAGTAACTTGAGTCTCGACTGAGGAGCTGCTGTGTCATCTGCTGCCACGGGTTCTAAACTCTGCTTTGTAGTGGGAATAAAAAATCATGTGCTTTTCCCCGACAGACCTCCTGAGACTTGTTCACCACCCTAGGAAAGTAACATAGGGCAGTGATTTCTGAACTGACTCTACAGCTTTGGCTTTTGTTTAGTTTTGTTAATGTCTCTGTAGGGCACTCCTCCCACAAACTAGCACACAAAACAGTTTCCTCCTGCAATATTACAGTCCTGTGCCTTCAGCTGAGGCATTAGGATGTGACAATAACTGAAGTGGGTTCAGAAAGGTGATACCTTATTTCTCCAGGCTGCAAAGAAAATCTTTAGCAGAACCTATAAAAACAAATGGTGGATATTTTTTTTCTCAGGGAAAAACCACCACCAACACGTTTTTTGGAGAAGAAAAAGGGAATTTTCTATGCATCCTTAAAATTTTTCAGGACATAGACAAAGGCATAAGCATTTGATATTTGTTTCGGGGTAAAATCTTGAACCTTCTAATTCAGTTTCAAGGAGAAAGTGAAGAGCTCAGACTCCCCTCCACTTCCTGATAGACAAAATTACTTGATTGTTGGTTTGGCTTGCACCTTAGACATTTTCAAGAATCTGTGCAAGCCCTAACTGTGAGACAAGAGCTTTGCCTCTGATTTTGGCACGTAAAAGACAAGCTTTTGCCCAAAATGCCTCCTTCAGCAAGCCTGGGTGGCAGCCTCACCAGGAAAAAGATGGATGAAGAGTGACCAGGGGGGTTTCAACTCCTTTTGCCTTTGCTGCTACAGGATGTGACCCCACTAGTTTTGTAGGATCAAACCAGCACAAGGTTTTTTTGCCAAAACTAAGTTTTTCTAAGGAAGTTAAGATTAAAAGCATGGAGATTCAGCTTCTCCTTTCTTGACAAATAATCAGCTGTTTTAAGAGATCCCTGGCTGCCTGGACATCAGCAAGGGCAAGTGGGACCTGTGGGTAAATGAGCTGGACTTGGAGGAGGTATAGCCTGTCCCAGACAGGATGGAGCCCATTTGCAGTGCTCATCCTGAGCAGCACCAAGTCCTGCTTCCTAAATATCCAGCCACAGCAGTTTTGCACCCAGGTATACAAGATGAGATGATCTGTTTGACAGAGCCATATGCAGAAACGCATTAAGCATCCTTTAAAGCTCAGTTCTCAGTTGTTTGCTCAGTTTTACCTCAAAACAGTTTCTAAGATTACCAAATGTGTGTTTTCTATTTCAGATTATCAAGTTTTTCCCTGGCAATGGCACTGCACCAAGGGTGAACTGCACATATGTGGTAAGGGTATGAAGTTAAGAGTCTCACACATTTCAAGCACTGCAGCTCTGAGAGCACAAGAACCGCAGCTTGAAAATCAGATGCCAAATACTGAGAATATTCTCAATTCCGTGCAATTTGTTGCACCAGTAAACATGCTAAGAAAAAGTTTGCTTTATTTAAAATCACCTGAAAAATAGTTATCCTGTGCAGCAGAGAGCATTTGCTGTTTGCTTTCAGCTCCCCACAGTGAATTTACACCTCAGCGCAGCTCCCTCAGGCTCTCCGCCCATTTCAGCAAGTCCAACTCACCGAATTCCCAACTGCTGTCAAAGAACACTTCCCTGCTTTTCTTGGCAATATTAACAGCTGGAGATTCCCACTTTTATTTGAAAAATAAAAATAAGACTGGTGCTAAACAGGCTGCTGAACTCAAGCTTTAATACACACTCAGCAGCAGTGAAACACTCACCCTTGGCTGGTTGACAATCTCCTTGCCAATGAAGCATCTTCCTTGTTTATTTTACAAACAGGGCAAGGAGCCTCGCCCACTGGAGGTGGACTACTACCCCGTGAACGGTACCTTCAACCTGCACTACTTCCCCTACTATGGCAAAAAGGCTCAGGTAGGTGCTTTATGTATTTAAATACAATTTTCTTCTTTCTCTTCGTGTAAGGTAAAACATACGGAGCATTTCTGCAATCCTACAAGAACTCAAGAGAAGGCTATTTCTAAGACTTTGGTTTTAAACTGGTAGTGTAAAATTATCTTCTTCTCTTTTTCCTCCCTCCTAGCCCAGCTACAGCAATCCTCTGGTAGCTGTGAAATTTCTGAACATCACAAGGAATACAGAACTTAAAATAGTGTGCAAAATCATTGGAGCTGGAATTACCTTTGATAATGCTCATGATCCATATGAAGGAAAAGTGGAATTTAAACTGAAAATAGAAGACTGAGCAGCAAGAGAGACACTTCTAGAAAATGTGTTTAGGGCAAACTGTTATCACATTAATCCATATTTATTTTCTCACTATGGTTCTCATATAAATTCCAATGCAAAGAGACATTTTCTACTGCAAGATGACTCTATGGCTAAAAATCAAGATACCACTCCCAGTGTGTGAAGGAGATGAGGATTACCTCCATGTACATAGCTTAATATTCCATGGCTACAGTGTGCTACTGCCTTCATGCAAGTATTTGTACAAAGCAAGTTCCCCCCAAAGTGTGCAGCTGTGCCTTCAATGAAAATAAGTGTAGAATCAGTCATTTTCAACCACTTTTCAAACCATAATAAATAACTGATGCATGATACTAAACTTTGGATATTGAGAAATAACTAGAGAGCTAGAAAAACAAATCAATACTTTGAAATACTAGCAAGTAATAAAATTTTTAATCTCTCTTGTATAGGATGTATAAATCATAAAAGTATATTAAAATTATCTGTATCCCAATGCATTGGCTTTTTGTACTAGTCAGCTGAGTCAGATTTTTTAGTTGACAAATCCATCAATGCAAAAGCAGCAAACTTGAAATCTGTCCTCTATCTAACAGATTTCATTGTACCACTTACCTCTATGTATATAACCTAATAAAAGTGATTGGTAAGACTCTAACATCCAGTTACATCCAGGAAACAGTTCATCTAACTGTTACAGGTTGTAATAGTTTAGTGTTTATGTTTGTTTGGTGTTTTGTTGTTGGCTTTGTGTTTGTTGTTTTTCTGGTGGTTTTGTTTGTTTCCTCCAGTAGGATAGCTCTGTGTTGCATTGATGAGTTTTGGGTTACTTGCAGTAATCTGGAAGATGCTGAAGTAACACCAAATTTTTAACTGAATCTAAAATTTGACAAATCTATCTCATGATACAAAGACACAAGATTGCTGCGTGTGTGTGCTATGTTTATGTTAGCTGAAGTCCAGGATGCTTTAGCCAGAGAAAAAACACTGCACAGCAAAAAAACGATACTCAAGAAATCATTTTGCACCTTCACTGCCTAGACATTTTACGAAGCAAAAAGGTGTAACAGATCAACTCTCTTTACTACAGTGACATTCAGACAACCCTAAGTGTGTTAATCTGTGTGTAGTTAGTATTAGTTTGCCCAAACCCCAAATGTAAGCACATTTAAATAGAATTACCATAATGCAAATATTTTGTAATACTGCATGGCACAGCCCAACGCTATGTACAAGCATGTCACGTAATGAAACCATCAAAGCAGCAAAGACAGGCTTGCATAGCTGCACTTCGGAGACATCCAACTGACAGAAGTTACAAGATAATGACCAAAATAAGCCCAGGGGAAGGAAAATGGGCAGGGCATCCTGCCCAAGGCACAAGAGGCGTGACTGGAAAAAGCAAAAAACAAGCCAAAAAGCAGCTGAGTTCCAGGGGGAGGAGGCAAGAAGCAGATAACACCAGCAATGAGAAGAAAGGAATGAAGACACGCTTCCTTGGGTCTAAGCTCTCCAGCCTAACAAGGACTTGGCCATCAGTGCCAGCTGTACAGCAGCAGCTAAAAGTTAATGTGTAGTCACAGTTAATTCAGTGTGCAAGTATTACAGACTAACAGTTCTATACACAGAGCAATAATCATTATTAATATGCAAGAGTCTAACCATTTAGAACAAAGTGTGTTGTTATGGAATTAAACACTTTTGTTTCCAGTTTAAAACTGGCCACATTTATCAGTCTTTTAAGTGTTCTTATTGCAAGTCTCCAATTCCTTGAGAGACAGATACATACGCATTCAAGAAGGTATATATATATACATAGGTATAGAACATATATCTATACATACGTATTAGATATATCAGATGTACTAATACACATAGTTTATACCTAAATTCGGTTGCAACATTAGCAATAGATCAAGTATTAGCAATTAAGACCAAACAACACAAATGGGAAAAAAGTTGGGCTACGTGGGAAACTAAAGCAGCAGATTTAAGAATGAAATGCAAATAGAAACAAATTCCCAAGTTCAATCAGATGTTGATCAAGTAGGATATCCGAAAGGAATGGGCAATTAGTCCGTGCTTCTAGAGCAGCAAAGGGGTCAGACAGGCATTATCAGGAGACAACAGGGTGTCTGTCGGTGCCAGACTCTGCCCGTTGTTCCTATCAGCTGTGAAGCAGTGAGGGTAGCCAGAAGAAGAGGCACAGGGAAGGCAGTAATATGGCATGAAACCAGTATTATTGATGTATATCCAATAAATTTTAGTTTCCAGACTTTTCCATTGAAGATATTAAATAAAACTCTTAATAAGATCACTGCAGAGAGAACAGAAATACAGCAGATGCTTTGAGATGTACTTTCCTCTCCATTTCTCTGCTATTCCTATGAATAGTCAAGGAACTGGTAAAGCCAATAATTGAAGTGTAAAGTCCTAATGTCTATTATTAAAAATTATGAAAAAAATTAACAGAGTGCAGAAAAACAATGAATACAAGCTCCTTGAAGCTTAAAGGATTTTGTGCTATGAGACTACAGAAGTTCAAAGCTTTGCCCTCTACCTTTTAGAATTGCCAAGTACTAGATATTAATAATTGAGTCTTTGCTTAATGGCCTCACATGATGTCATTGCTATTGCACTTGGGAATTCCTCTCATTTCATAGAGCTGTTTTTAATCTCTTACCTGTAATAAAAGTCAGGCAGAGATTGATTCTGCAACAAATAAAGCTAACCATGTGCTGCTTTCAGTAATTGAATGTAGAGTAACAGCTGCATCAATAATGCTTGTAGAAAGTATTTATATTTAAACTCCCTTCACAAGCTTTTTCTTTCAGACACAAAAGCTCAAGCTCAAACAAGATTATTCTGCTTAACGTAAAATAAATATATGCATGGCAGGAGCCTTTTTCTTCAATTTAATTTGAAAAACTCTCACTAGGGACAGTGTTCACTCTTCTCCCAGTTTCTTTTCCCCTCAATACCAGAGTGATAACAATGGAACACAGAACTTCCCATTATGTTAACAGCAGAAATTGGGCTGAAAATTCCCTTTTTAGGATCCTATTACACCTTTCTCACTTGGTATAAAATGAGAAAGAACTGAATTCTGGAGAGACTCTTGGGATAACACCTTCATTCATTAACGCATGTATTTATGTGCAGTCCTACTGTTACCAGTGTGGCAATTCCAGCATTCCAATAAAAATGTTACAGGGGCTTATTGTTATAATCAATTACATAACCCATCTTAATTATTCTGATTTCAAGTTCCAGTTCTTAAACCTTCTGTCACTTTTCTCTCATATACTGATGAGCCTGTTGAAACAGTATCTTTTTGCTTGACCTGACACAAATCCAGTTATTTCTCCTTTTTTTTTTTCCCCATTAAATAAACCAAAATAGAGTTCCTTAATTTTCTTACTAATAGAGCTTTACCTTAGGTATCAAATAACTGGGGGAGGGGCTTTTTCTCTGAGTCTTTCCCAGTTTTTAGAATCTCACATTTTCAGCATATAGTCTTTCCTTGTATAAGTGTACCTTGAATTTTGTTCTTAAGAGGTGCAGTTTAACCATAACATATTTTGAACATGCCCTGCTTGCCAAGTAATCCACTTCAATCTGTCCTCTTCATTGTTTACTTCTTTTCTAAGCAGTATTACTTAAAAATATATATATTTTAAATTTTCTTCTGGATTACTGAAGAAATTGGTTAAGAAAAGTACAATCTTACTTGATGCAGCGGGTGAGTCAGTGATAATGCCATAATAACGTTTCAGCAGTAAATAGTTCACAACCCTTTTAACACACAATCTGTTGGTATTGTAAAACACATATTTAAAATGAGAACGCAAAGAAATAAAAAACGCTTAAAAATGCTGAAACATATCCATCACTTCCTTAATCAGCTAAAAATATGCAATCTCCTCCCATATTCATTTGGTAAGACATATTCTATACTCTGTCATTAATAATTAACCTTCCACACTTCTTGTTTTCTTTTAGCTGTTTTCTTCAACAGTTTTTCTAACACAAGATTCAGGGCTGATCTCAAGCTGTCTAGACCACATTTGGGGAGGACTTCCGCACATTTTTGACACTTTTTATTTTCTCACACTTTAAAAAGTGGAACTCTAGCATTAATTTGGTCTGTCAGAAGTTACTATTTAAAGGTTATTAAAAATCAGCATCAGAATTGTAGAGATCCACACTGCGTTGCAAAAATTATCATGGTTGCCTGGTTTAAGAGTTAAGTGTTAATTATGTGCTTAATCTTCTGTTTTATTTTAAATGAATTCTCTGAAGTTTACATGAATTAAGAACATGAACCTTGCCTGAAGTCTGCAACTTCACTGTCTTTTTAATGTGCCACAATGCAGATGCTCTGACTAGCTCTCCTGACAGGTTAGGGCTGATGAAACTGCACTGTCTACAATGATGTACCATGATGTGCACACAATGAAATCATAAAAAATGATCAAATCTTTGAGCCTAAGTATGGATGATTTCAAACTGTTCAAACCATCCAAAAATTTAACAAAAAGGTCACAGCAGAACAAGGAAAAGCAGTTGTAATGATATTGCATGGATATTACATGATTTTTTCACTTAACACCGGTCTCTTTTTTCTCTTCCATACCAGAACATTTTGTCTTTATCACAGTAAAGCTGTGCATCAATAATCATCATGATTTTCTCTGATTGTTTCACTGGTTAATGCTTCAAATGACTTCTTGAGGACAACGGCTACCCAGCTGAGCAAGGCAGACTCAGCTAGGTGACAACCATCATCATGCCAGATGAGAATTACCAGTGTAATCAAACGTTCAAAGCGGGAAACACCCGTGCATGCCAATCGTTGCCTTTCTTCATGCTGCTCTCAGCATCAGCTGAATTTCTGCTTCTCAGAAATCTCAATGGAAGACAGTCTTCACTTCTACCTGTTTGTCCAACTACCCTTTACATCACAGGAGTCTGGTACCTTTTGACAGCTTCTGA